ACTTAAACTCGAATACTCCTTGGCTACGCTCACGCCAAATTTTATCCCGATCGGGATAAAAGTCCCACAGTTACTCCTCTGTGGGGTATCTGTTGTTTTCGGCAACAGCACCGAACTTATCCCGAAATATTGACTATTATCATGCATCAGTCTTTTAACCGCAACTTACTCTTCCCGCGAATTTGGGTTTAAACCACAGCCACTACGTGGATCCCGAAGGAACCTCAACCAACTGACCAGCCAGGACATAGTCCTGCGGGCAACTGGCCACCCGTAGTACCAGATTATGCGGTTCTCTGGTCTGACCTCTAGCAATCTATGCAAGGACTTAGCCAGGCAGTAGACTGTAACCAATTTTTCAGCCCCGGTCGGACTGGAGGTATTGGCCACCTCTTTATACCCCGGGATTGCAATAACACCAAGGCGGAGGTCTCGCCAAGGTAACATGCCCCCGGGGGGAACTACGGTGGTCAGTTGCCTGCAGGTCTTTTCCTGAATGGTCAGTTGGTTGAGGTTCCTTCGGAATCCACGTAGTGGCTGTGGTTTAAACCCAAATTCGCGGGAAGAGAAGTGCACGATGAAATCTATAATTCGGGATAAGTTCGGTGCTGTTGCTGAATGACAAAATATACCCCACATAGGAGTGACTGTGGGACTAAGCGTTGAAAATGTGTTGGTGTTAAGTCTATATGATCAGGATGAATGTAGGGGTATACGGATATTACACGTCCGTAAACCTAGAGTGAGTGTGTTCTCATGAGTGTGTCGGATGAATGAGACATGTGCTGGTTTGAATGGTGATGAATGAAAGGTATTTTATACAAGTAATACCATTGAATTTTCTTTCCTTTCTTCCTCTTTCCTATTTAGGGAAAACTCTGTTCATAACAGATTTACCACAGTGTGTTCTCTGTGAGTAAGCACAAAGTCCTCGGCTTATTTGATGGATTCGTGTTTCGGATTACCAAATACGTCTCTAGGCCATCCCATCTGCGTGGTTGTAAACGAAAGTGTTGTTTTTGCATCTCGTAAGTTAAGCAATGGTCAGAGATAGCTCGAGTACTTGAGCAATGAGCTTGTACATGGGTCGTAAGATACACAAAGAGTAAAAGTAATTTTCTTATAGGTGATAGGGTCAGATTTTTTCAGTATATAATTTCTGGGTAAATAAAACTAACTTGTATATTTTATCACGATGTGATAGTTATTTGCATTATTAAACGGATTGTCTTAGAATCTAATAGGATCTATCGCATACTATTTCCATAGAATATAAATTTCACTAGTGAACCAAAACACTCTTACGAATTGGTGAATGTTCGTTTTCTAAACATAACTTGTCTGTTATTGCCCATAACCAACTAAAATTTAGCATAAATATTTGTTGCTAATACTTAAAATTTGAGACCAAAAAAAAAAAAAACCTTTGATGTTAAATTTCATTATAAATCAGTGTCATTATTCTAGCCTTTAATCAAATTTCGTAGAATTTATAAAATGTTTGAAAAATTAAAAAAGAAATAAAATCTGTGCAAACTATTTACAGACCTATGTATATTAAAAAAGCACTAAAGTCGAGTAAATTTCACGCATAAAAAGGACGCCAGACAGTAAACAATTTTAAAGATTCTAGGAAAATTTCACTATAATTGTGTATTCTTTTAAAACGCCATGACCTGTTTTGACTTTATATGTATATTGTCGATTCAATTTATTTCTGTGAATGTATGAGTTTTAATTGTGCTTTTCTTTATTATATTATTGATTTTTTCTGATGCTGTTTTAATTTTTTTTTTACTAAAAAAAGTTTTTCGTTTCCTTATTTCTTAATTTTAAATTGTATGAAAAATAATTTTTACTGTGACATTGACATATTGTGTTCTCGTTGTTAATTTTCCAGTAATACCATTGAGACGTTCTAAGTATTATATTGTTAAGAATTGAAATGAAATGTGAAAATGTTATAAAGAAATATTTTTTGGTTTTTATTTTCCTGGATTATTGTTGTTGGAATAAATATAGATGTATGTATGGAGTATACATATACAAGATCTTTTTATTGTTTTAACTATAAAGAACTACTTACGTGTATATGCAATTGAAATTCAACATAAAATTATTTTTAAAACTTTAAAAAACAGTAAAAGAATATGTTCTTGTTATAAAAATTTATATTCAAAGCACATTTTAAAGTTTTATGTAAAATTTTAATTTAAAAATTGTTGTTTTAGGTCTGTTTCGTACTTATTAGTTAGTTACATATGAACAAATATATAAAACAGTTTGTAGTTTATCTTCCTTATTTCTTTGTCTTTCATTTAGTGGTTTTATTTCGTCCTCTTATATGTATCTTTTAAGTTTTTTTGTTAATTTTTTTTTCTCTCGACAAACTTTAAAGAAGATTCCTTTTAAAAAATTATGGAATTGACGGGTATGACGTGATTGACCTAATTTCTACTGAATGTTTAGTATATTTTCCATTTGGATTTCATTTTCATACTTTTCATGATGCTGCTGTTGTTATACATAGTTGTTTTCTATATATTTCACTTAAAAAATAAAATTTTAAACATTTTTTCTTTATACAGATTGCCAGCAGAATTAGTTTTGTTTTGAACACAATATAAGAAATTGTATGCGTATTTGTAGTTTTTTTATATGTATAGACATGTTTGTATAAATATACACACACTGTTTTACGCAAATTATACATTGAATGGGATATACGAGTATAGTTAAGAAAAGAATTAAGAAGAAGCAACTAGAACTTTAAAATATATATGAAAAAGTTGGAAAGTATAGTCGGGCATGGTCTATCATATGATATCCAGCTGTGAGTATATAAATTAAAAATGTTATATTATAACAATTTATGGATGAAAAACTGATTTTCCAAAAAAGGCTTTATATGGGCGTTAGTGTCCAATATGGACTGATCCTCATAAAATTTAGTCAAGGGATTTAGGTTAAAATAGAAGTTATTTATGCTGAGTTTTATCGAGATACTAATTTTTATAAGTATTTATTTTTGGAAGGGGACTTTGTATGGGGGCTAGTGTCAAATTAGGCCCGATTATTATGAAAATTGACGGCTCTCTAAATGCTTATATTAAACTAAGTACAGGTGGCAATTTAAAAAATAATTTGTTGAAATTTGCCACACATATTATCTTTTAAATTGCCACCTGTAATTTGATTACAGGCTTTACGGATGGACATCTAATATAATGATTCTAAGTACACCTTAAGGGTATAGGAGCAATATTTCTATGTGATACAAACATAAGCTCAAACTTATAATACCCAACCTACTATAGTGGTGTAGGGTTTAAAAACGAAAGCATCTATTTTAATGTATATATGTGAATATTAGTGAAGTTGAGCTTAATACACCCAAGAAAATAATTTCATTCAAATGAAAATGTGGATTTGTCCATTGACTAGTTTATGACGTGGTGTATGGAATAGTCTATTGTTTATGAACTAGCCTATGATTATTATAAGGTCTATTCTATTGAGTAGTATTTGCACTAGTCTACCCAGCAGTTCGACAAAGAGTTAATGCATCCAAAAAAGACAGTGATTTCCACTAACGTCTAACCACCTGGTTGGCTCTAATTCGTCTTTCGTCACGGATGTACTCATTGTAAATGTGGGTACTCTAATGGGTGATGAACTTCCTAGTAGGACAAGCAGATGTTAAATAGTTAGTCATCTGGACAGTCGGTGGTTAGGGTTAACACTAAGTGGTAGGTTAAATAGGTAGTTCGGGATAGTGCGACCGAACTGATGGGTATTGCCTAATTTATAGCTTAAGACCTAGTCTATGGACTATTCTATTGCCTAGTTTATTTAACTACCAAAATACAGTTAATGTTGGTGGAATGTTGATGGTGCTTACTAGGTTTTATATGCTAGTATATTGCCTACTGGTACTGGTCTATTTATTGTTCTTCATATTAGCTATTCTACTGAAAGGTAGGACTGCTTAGCAAATGTTTATAAAGTACCTATTACTAAATGTACGAAAAAAGTTTAATAGTTATGAGTTTTCGTCTCTTGATCAGCACAATTTTCTTTAAAAATATTTTTTTCCTATCTTTTCCCAAAAAAAAAATATTCTTCATATTTTACTAACTCTTTATTTTGAGTGCAACATTTATGGCTTTTTAACAAACGCAAATTAACAGAGCACAAACTTTTAAAGAAACAAAAAAAATTTTTTTCTTAAACAAAATGACGATGGAATTTCTGTGGCAAGAATACAACAGAATTCACAACGATGTCCTTCTAACAACAATCTACAGTTTTAAGTTTGAATAAAGTTTGTTGAAAAAAAAAACAACGCAAACAAATAAAAGACATTCATTAACAGTTGAAAGCAAAACTAAGTAAAACAGACACACATAAATTTTATTTATAAAAAATATATAAAAATATAAAAACTTTAAAAAAATTTAAAAGCATATAAAATAAACTATTCAAAAATAACAAGAAAATCCTTTTCAAAGTATTTGATAATAGAGTCTGTTAAAGGATTTTTTTGTAATATAATAAAATTTACTTAGTAAAGCTTAAAATTTCATTTGAAAATAAAATTAATTTTCAAAATTGAACCAATTTAGAGCAAAACTACTTTTTGAAAAGAAGAAGATTAATATAAAAAGAAGTTGGTTAATTTGAAATTAAAAATAATATGATTGCAGTTGTAAAACTCAATACCAGGGAGTAAATACAGTGATAAACAAAACTAGAGGGCATTGAAAACTAAAAGCATAAATATTAGTTTAAATAGGTTAATAGAAAAATATATATTTGCCTTAAATAGCCATGATAAAATAGCCATCTTATTTTAATACTAAAGTTTTTAACAAGTCATAAAATTTCATTTTTACCATTAACTCCCCTATAATCTAGCCTTTTTATTGACACTGACTGTACGCAATAGTTAATAAAAAAAGTTTTTAATTTATTTGTATTTGTTTTTGTACAATTTTCAGATCTCAAAGTAATTACGACGCCACTTTAAAAAGGCAATGAAATCGCGGAAGCTTCCCAAAGGCTTCGTGCTTTGTGGCTTAAATTGCTTAACTTTTGTTTACTTTCCATTGGTTTTACCGATAGTGATATGTTCGGCCAACGATTTCGACTATCGTCTGCAGCGAGTGAAAAATGTATTAAAGGAAGTGCCATTAATAGACGGGTAAGTTTAACAAACAAAAACAAAAACAACAACAAAAAGTGTGAAAAACAAAACCCCACAAGCTTTATTTTGAAAACAACAAAATATAAACAGAAAATGTTAAATAAAAGGGGGAGGGAGATTAAAGAGCAAAATGGCAAAAATAAAGCGAACAAAAAGAAATTAAAAACCACTTAATTAAACTACCAATAATGTTGTTGGGATTTTGTTCAATTTTTTTTTCTCGCTCTTTGTTTTAAGGGTTTTTGGAGTTGTTGAGTTTTTTCTTCCACTAAAAATAAACTTTTCAGACATAATTATTATAAAACATTTTATAGAAACTTTAATTTTTATAAATTAACCAATTTCTCTCTTGATCAGACACAACGATTTACCCTGGAATATAAGAAAATTCTTAAAAAATCAATTGAAAGATTTTCATTTTGGTGGAGATTTAAGACAAATACAACCATGGGCGAACAGTGCCTGGAGTCACACAGACTTGAGGAGACTCAAAGAGGGAATGGTGTCAGCTCAGGTATTTATTTATTTAAACAATTTCATATTAACATATTTCGTTTTTTATTAGTTGTTAAGAGTTTTGTTATTAAATTTTATTATGCGATAAAAGTTTTTAAATTGAAAATTTCTTTTTCATATTTTTTTTTTGATGGAGTGTTGAGGCATAAAATTACATTTTGTTTGTTAAATGAAATATTGGAAAAATAAGTTTTAAGGTCATTTGAAAGTTTTGTTTATTAATAAAAGTTATTTATATGTATATAAATATAAATATATAGTATAGATAAAGTTAATATTTGTTTTTAAACCAATATAGGTAATATTAAAAAAAAAACTTTACTTTTTTATTAACGATAACATTATGCTTATTTAGGGAATATTTTGTTGCTACATATATTTGTTAAGAGATTTTATAGGATTTGCAATGTTAATTATTAAGAGCATTAAATTGTTTAACTGTTTATGGGTTAATATTTTATTTATTTATGCTAATTAAAGTAAACTTTCATATAATATTGCGCTGCTGCAGAATTTTGTGAAATGTTGATTTTTTTATAAGCCATTTAATATAGAACAGAAATATTCTCTATAGGAAAGCTTTGTTTGGTATTGAAAATGGATAATATCCGTCTATGTTTTCGCATAGCCTCCATACAAGTGACCCCCGAAAAACAATGTAAACAGTCATAGCTGGTTTAAAAACATCAGTATGGCAATGAAACTTCACATAAACGAGTTCTATATGAACCAAAATCTTCCTACCAAATTTTATGAGAATCAGTCCATAATTGACCCTACCCCCAATATAAGGTCCCTCTCAGAAAACGACTATAACGCTTGCTTCAAAATGATAGCAATGCAAGGAAATTCGACATAAACAAGTTTTAGGGGAACTAAAATCTCTCTATCAAATTTTATGAGGATCGGTTCACCTACCCCCCATATAAGGTCCCCCTCAGAAAACGACTATAACGCTCATAGCTTGCTTCAATATGATAGCAATGCAAGGAAATTCGACATAAACAAGTTTTAGGGGAACTAAAATCTCTCTGCCAAATTTTATGAGCATCGGTTCATAATTGACCCTACTTCCTATATAATGTTCCCTCATAAATTGACTATAACGCTTATAACTTGCTACAAAATGATAGTAAAGCAACTAAATTCGACGTAAACAAGTTTTCGGGGAACAAATATCTTTGCCAAATTTTATGTAGATCGGCTCATAACTGACCATACCCCCCTATAAAGGTTCCTCTCAGAAAATTACTTTAAGGTTCAAATTTGCTTCAAAATGCCAGTATATCAACGAAATTGACATAAACATGTTTTATAGAAACTATGTAAAATTTCTCTGCCAAATATTAAGACGATTGGTCCATAATTGATTCTACTCCATAATTGGCTCCCCTCATAAAATGGCATTGACGCTAATAACAATAACGAAATTCGACATAAACAACTTCTTCAAAATGATAATAAAGCTATGAAATTCGACATAATGAAGTTTTATTGAAACCAAAATCTTTGTAAAATCTTTGGAGGATCGGTCCAAAATTAACCATAAGTAAATTTACAGGAAATCAAATCAATAAAAAAATTATTAAATATGATAAAATAGGTAATACATCACCCTGACTATATTACTATTTATATAAATACATATAAATCAGTTTATAAAAAATCCAATAAATGAATAAATTGTGGTAGCAAAAACATCGGTTGATATAGTATAGGTCCACTTTCCGAAATTCACCTGAAATTTAAGACACATGATTTGATGGTGGGTTTATAAGATTCGGCAGAGTCGAATTACTTGAGTTACTTGTTTAAATTTTTTATAGAAAATTTTGAATTTTTTTAAATGACTTTAGAAAATTTGTAGAAATGTCTATGAAAATGTTTTGAAAGATTTTTTTTTGCAAAAAAATATATATCATATACCCAAATCAAATTTAGACCTTATATAAACTAAAGATAAATAAAACTCTAGTTAAACTTTTGAGCGACAAAAAAAGAAAAGAAAGAATAATAAAATTATGCTTGACCAAGCATGTTACATTATTTAGAATGGTAATTTTTTTACGCAGTCAAATAATTCAGTAAATTGTATATAATTGCTTATGAAGTATATACATTGACGTTTAAAGTCTTGAAAAAGTTATCATCTCTTCAAGACAAGAACATTTGTCGTCATTTGCATAATCAAACTTTTTCCATTCTCTATACACTAACCAATATCAAAGTAATTTTATGCCCAAAGTAAAATTTATTTTGTGGAATATTTAAATTGTGACTTTAAATTGAATTGAAAACCTTGGCAAAGAAAAAAAAACTTTATATATTTTTTTCTGTCTTTCTTTAACATTCAGTTTTGGTCAGCATATGCCCCCTGTTCGTCTCAACATCTGGATGCTGTACAGTTAACGTTAGAACAAATAGATCTAATACGACGTTTAGTCAATCTATATCCGCATCATATGTCTCTTGTAACAACTGCCTCAGGTAAGTAATAATATAAATAAATGTTTCTAAATGACGGAAAAAAAAACGAATAGAACAAAATAAAAGATAAATATCTGCAAAAGTAATTGTAAATAAGACTTTAATGGTTTTAAATGAGCTTAAGTGATTGTCATCGTTATCAAATTGATATGTTACGAGTTCAAAATTTATTTTTATACAATTACGTTTCTTTTCCAATATATTCATTCGTATTATAACAAATTAGGTTGAGAATTCTGTTTGCTGGTAATATGATTTATTTAATTATAACAATAAGTAAGGACTAAGATGATTAAGTGTTTACTGTAAGAATCTTTAGCTAGCAATTAATAATCTGTATAAAAGTTAAGATATTTTATTATTTAATTAAAAGTAAATTTATTTTCAATAATATATAATGAGATATATTTGTCCTTCATTAAGGTCATATTTTAAATTGATTAAATGCTTTTAGTATTTTAATGTTCTTTAAATTTCAAGTCATATTGAATGGTTTTCACTTGTCTCTTTTTCAAGATGATTGATAAATTAAGCGATCATTTATTGTTTAAAAAATAACATGACAGTTAATGTCAATATCTTTAAAATAATAAGATAAAAACGACACATTATATATGTGTTGCCTTTAATCGCCACAAAACAAACTGACACACAAATACATATATTACATTTTCATTTACATAATTATCGATTTATCAATACATTTGTGTATGTAAATGTATAAATGCATGTGAATACTTGTATTTGTATTTACATCTGATAATTGTTGTCTTTTTAAAACGACAACAAGAAACACTTATAATTCATTAACCATGGCAAATACGAGTAAATAGGTTTGTAATTAAATGTATTTATTATGCACTCTGAGAAATTGTTTGAACAGGATGTGGACGGACATTGACGACGATAACGATGTTGTTGATGATGATGATGATAATGATTGTACAATTGTTAAATTTTTTATAACAATTAAAACATTTGTTAAATCAATGAAAAGTCGTTTGATTAAAAACACATGATGATGACACAAGATGTTACAGGAAAATGTATTTTCAGATAAACGTGTGCACACATCAATACTAACATTCGTATGTATGTATGTATGTTTATGTTCAGTGTGTAAACACCAGAAAAAACACTGAAAGAATAAATAAATAAATCGCTGACAAATTTGTTTGTGTTAAATGTAAAATACATTCACATATACACATAAGTGAATAATGTCTATATTTGTATGTATATGGGTGGGTGTAAGTTTTTATGTATTTTCCTCTCTGTTTATAGCCTGATTGTCACCAGCATAGAAGCACACACACACCTGAACACACTTGAATATATATTTATATACTTGCCATACACATAAAACACTATACTTTTATATGGCCTAATTGTAGTTCCAACTGCATCAGATGTTGATGCAAGAAAAGTGTGTATATTAGGTTGGTCCCCAAAAAATATTCCGATCTTATTCGAAAAATTCCATTTTATTGAATAAATAAGTTTTTTCACTTTAGTTTTAGTGAAGATTTAAAGTGAAAATGTGCAGCACCTCTCCACAAAAATAATCAGTGCTATCCTATTTTGTTCATACATATACTCCCATAAATATTCCTTTATCCAATATTCGAATACATACAGACAAACAAGTTGGCGTGTTAACCAACCTTATTGACACCTGACATGATTGATATGCATTCTGTGTCACTGACTTCAGTAACAATTAACATTTGTTGTCACAATAAATACCAAAATGCAACAAATTTATGTATATTGTTTATTTGCTATATTTTTTTATGTATTTGTAAGTATTATATTTAATTTTTATACCCTTCACCTTCGTGAGAAGGGTATATATAAGTTTGTCATTCCGTTTGTAATTTCTATAATATAATTTTCCGACCCTATAAAGTATATATATTCTGGATCCTTATAGATAGCGGAGTCGATTAAGCCATGTCCGTCTGTCTGTCTGTCCGTCTGTCTGTCTGTCTGTCTGTTGAAATCAGTTTTTAGAGGACCCCAGATATCGGCGAGATCCGAATCTTCAATAATTCTGTTAGACATGCTTTCGAGAAGATCGCTATTTAAAATCAGCAAAATCGGTCCATAAATGACGGAGATATAAGTAAAAATCCGAGACAACCTCTGAAAATTTCATTAAAAAATACAATTTTTTCATGCTTTGATTAATAAGCAACAACAACAACACTGCTTATTTATTGAGTATTTCGTTTCACATGTTTGGATGGCTGTGTGTTTCATTGGCATGTGTATATTGTTTTTGTTTCTTGGTGTATTCAGTTTTGTATGTTTGGATGGCTGTGTGTTTCATTGCCTTGTGTATATTGTTTTTGTTTGTTGGTGTACAGTTTCGTTTGTTGGTTTTACTGCCTTGTGTATTTTGTTTTTTGAGTGTTTATTTCGTTTAGCGTTGTTGTTGTTCATTTTGTTTTGCTATTGCTATAATAATGATATAATCGGGAAAATTAAATAGGTACATAAATTTAAATTTTATAAAATTTATATTTTTAAATACACTATGGTGAAGGGTATATAAGATTCGGCACAGCCGAATATAGCACTCTTACTTGTTTTTAATTCATTTCTTGCTTTTTTTTTTTGGTGGATGCAAGTTTTTATTAAAATTTATTTTTATATATATTGAATGATTTACTCTAACACATACATTTATTTCAGTTTTTTTATTATTAATCCAACTGACCACATTGGCTTGTTTTTTACACTGAATTTACAAAACCTATCTTTCAACATGATTTTCATTTATTTCTTCAATATATAAAATTGACCATAACTTTGACATGTCAATTTTATTAAAATGAATTGATGTTAAATTTATAATAATGAGTTGTCAAGGAATGGGTTCTTAAGGAAGGAAAAATCGAAACGTTAGGTCGATATTAGATTAGATCCAAAAATGTTGTCCTTTCCGCTTGCTCTACATATATAGTTATACATTGTTCTTTGTTTCCCCTACACACCATCATACTAACTAACCTCAGAGTTACTCATTCTGAGGAGTCCTCTCATTGTCCTTTCGCTTGGGTGACTAACCTACCGTTCCATTATTTCTGCTAGCGCTTTTAATTCAGCGTCATATTCCCTCCCCTTTATATTGCGTATTAGCTTAGCAATTTCGTAATAGAAGAACAAAAATTGTAAACATATAAAATCAAAAAAAAAAAAACTTCACCTTCAAGATCAAAATCGCAAAAAAACTTTAAAAAAATCGATTTTTACTTGTTAAAAACATGTAAATAAGGCGTATACTTAATATTTGTAATATCATTGAATCATTAACGCGTATACGTATAGGTGTCGTTTAAGAAAACAGTGTTATTTCACAATGTAAAACTTTGCACTTGAAATGAAAAAAATTAAGATGAAGTTTGTTTGATCTTATATGTTTACAATTTTTGTTCTTTGTGACAAGAGCTACAACTTTGTCTCAGAGAGTAAATCAAAATTCCGAATGGTTTGCAAGATATGAGCCTGAGAAAATTATAACTTTTTTGCAAAAATGACTCAAGGCTCTAAATCTTTGGGGTCCCATAAAAACAGTGCATGATTTTAGGCAAAACTAGGAGACATGGGTCTTTTATCAGTATATGGTTATATTTCCATGACTTAAAAATTACAAAGTGTAATTTAACATAAATGATATAACAAACAAATTAAAAACTATAATACATTTTCTATTTTAATTTTCTTTTCCCTTAGGTATCGAAAAATCTCACAAAAGTGGCAAAATAGCCAGTTTAATTGGAGTAGAAGGCGGTCATGCAATTGGCACAAGTTTAAGTGTACTTCGAATGTTTTATCAACTCGGTGCTCGCTATTTGACTTTAACACATACCTGCAATACACCTTGGTAAGTAGAAAAAAGAAATTAAAGAAAGAATCCCTCACCAAATTACTATGTAAAGAAACAAAAGAAAATAACTTAAGAATGTCTGAGGAAAATGCGAAATACTGTCATGCATTAAAAAATAACTTGTCGAGTTTTTTTATATTTTCTTTATACACTGGGTAATGATGTGTATTTTTTCCTTTGGAGTGCATGGTGCATTAAGGAAATTCCTTATACATATTAAACTAAAAAAAAAAACACTTAACTAAACAATACACAATACAAGAATGGAAAAAGTAAATATCCAGAAGAATCTGCACTAAATAAACAAGAAAAGAAATCTACGAATTTTAAGTGTCATTTGGGATTGGTTTTTCAACAAGTAAAATATATCTAAAGAAAATATATTTTGATAGCATATAGTATTGGGAAGATTTTTGTAAAAAGGGAAGTTGTAAATTTGAAATATGTAAAAAGTACCTGTTTTCTTATTATTTAAATTTCTGTTTATTTCGTTTTAGGGCGGACTGTTGCAAAGTTGACGAACCTGGCAAATATCCCCATATTGGTGGTTTATCAAAATTTGGAAAGGTAAGTGAATTACTAACATGACGTATGATTTTTAAACATTTAATCCTCATTAGGAAATTCTCAAATAATGTTTAACTTTATTGTATGAATTTCCCATTTGAACCTAAATATTCAGTGGTTGGTATTAAGAGGACATAATAGAGTTAATTAACATATTTTAATTAGATTTTTTAATAAGTTCCACAGTGATCATTAGATTTATAAACCCTTTCGTATTTGTTACATTTTGTTTAGCAAAATTATCCAATTTAAATAAACCATTTAACTTTCATAGTGAAAACGAAAAAAGGTCCCCCTTTTTTATAAATGTTAAAAATGTCATTGAATGTAGTTTCTTTGATGTGCATTCAATTAAATACATTAGAGTTTAGCTTCTATCTCTTTGGCTTGAATTACAAAAAAAATATCCACATTTTGTATATCCTTTTTTCTGACAAAATAAAAAGAATCCATTAATAACTTTAAAAATATGTATATGTATGTATATAAGCTCAATTTTTCTTTTGCTCCAGTTGTAATTGTAATTTTTTTTTGTACAACTAAGTAGCCAAACTAATAGTACAATTTTATGCACTTTGTTTTTTTTCGCTATTTCTTTACTTTTCTTACTCTGAAAATTTCAAGGTACAAATACTGATACTGCATTTAGTTGCAAAGAAAAATTTTGTTTCACTGTAGTGGAAAAGGGAAAAAACTAAGTGGAATTTGCATTAAGTTTTGCATTTTAATAGACAATTTTAGTAATTTTTCTCCTTCTTTTACTTTTTTTTATGTTGCAGCAATTTTATTTAATAGAAACTTGTGCTGTTAGTTTTAGTATCGTTAGAATTTTATTAAAATGAGATTTTAGTCAATGTATTTTTTCTTTCCTCTAGTTAGCTTTTATTCATTTTAATAAATTTCTCTATACTTCCTTCCATTTATAGAGAGAGCAATGGATGGGATTAAATGTATGAGTGAATGAATCATATGTATATTCTCCATATTTTTATATATACACATTTATAAATAAACAATAATGTATTATGATTATTATAATAATCATTGTATGAGTGTGTATAAATACATACAAATTTAGTTGAGTAAATATGGTGATAATATATTTACACATATACATGTATATATTGTTATAATAGGCTGGTTCTAAAACAAGTTCCACATATTTATAAAGGTTTTTGTATTTCTAGATTAATATATTTTCGATTGATACCTAGATATCATATAGTACTAAATCATGACCCCCCGGGGCATGTTTCCTTGATGAAAGACCCTCATCTTGGTGTATTGCAATCCCGGGGTAAAGAGGTGCTACTAGTACCTCTAGTCTGCCGGGACTATAAACTGGTGATGTCAATTCACTCCTCGGCTAGTCCTTGGAATAATTTGACATAGGGTCTAACCAGAGAAACACATTTGGAACTGCGGGTGGCCAGTTGCCCGCAGGACTTGTCCTGGCTGGTCAGTTGGTTAAGGTTCCTTCGGGATCCACGTACTGGCTGTGGCTTAAACCCAAATTCTTTTAACCGCAACCCAAATGTTGCGGTTAAAAGACGGTGAAATCTTTATTTTGGGATAAGTTCGGTGCTGTTGGCGAATGACAACAGATACCCCACAGAGGAGTAACTGTCAGACTAAGCGTTGAAATTGAGTTAGTGGTAATTGTACATATATGATACAGGATGAATGTATGGGTATACGGAACTCATCCGTTCGTATACCAAGAGTGAGTTTGTTGTATGTTTTTCTCTTATGACTATGTCGGATAAATGAGAAGTGTGCTGGGTTAAATGGTGATGGATGAAAAGTATCTTATACAAGTGATACCATTGAATTTTCCTTCCTTGTCCAGGAATGTTCAGAGTAAACTTTGTTCATAACAGATTTATCACAGTGTGTCACTGTGAATAAGAACAAAGCCTCGACTTATTTGATGGATTCGTACTTCGGTCTACAGGCTACATATTTAGGTGCTGTTGCTGACTCAACAGCATGTTTTTGCATCTCGAAAGTTAAGCAACGGGGCAGCAATGGTCAGAGATTAGATAGCTTAAGTACTTGAGCAAAGTGCACGTATAATGGACCGGAAATTCCATATACGTAAATTACCACCTGCGTGTAAGAAGCACAATGAGGCGTGCTTACAAAAAAAATTTAGCATAAAATTTCCCAAAAAAAAAATTCTTGAACCGGTCTAATATGGATATATGTACTTTACCGGTTTGTTAATAAATTCTTTCATTTCATTCGAATTTCTGCATAAATTCTTGTTTTTCTTGGCTTTATTTGAAAATAAACTTCATTATTGTATAATATAAATTCAAAGTATTATTTCTATAAATAATTGCTATAACTCAATAAGCCACAAAAGAAAGGAGAAATTGTTAGATTTTGAAAAAATTTTAAAAAAGATATTAAAAAAATATGAAAATGTTTGGTTAAAATTTTGACATAATGTGACCTATAACATGATTGCCAAAAGTCCTTATATACAATTATTTAAGTTCTTTCTGTTCTCTTAAGATTTTGATTTAGAGATTTGGACCTGATTTAAACGGCAGAGATGTGATTAACCCTCGATAATAAAACTTCACTAACAATTAATTCTTTTGCATACTGCTATTGAAAGTACATACATACACATGTACATACACACTTGTTTTGTTATTATTTTGCCTTGGTTGCTTGTAGCAAACAGGAATTTCCGGTGAAAATTTATTTGCTGCTTCTGCTGTAATGTACAGCAAAAAAAGAATAATAAAAATAAAGAAAAAAAAAAAAAAAAAAAAAAAAAAAACAACGAATTATAATCCAACTTATTTATATGTACGAATGCGAGTTACATTTTTCTTTCATTCTGTCTACTACATTTCGGATTTTTATATTATTTTTTCCGTAACTATTACATTTCCGCATTTTTTTAGTCAAGTTAACATTTATACAAGTTGACAATATTTTTTCAACAAATTCTTAAAATATTTTTGCATTTTGTTTTCTTTTGCCATTTCAAATTTTTTTTCATGTTGCTGCTGCTACTGATGCCACTAATTTGTTGTATGTGTTGGGAACTAAAACTACAACTGGATCTATTAATATTACTACTGTTGCTGTTGTTGTTGCTGCTTCTGTTCTATTGCTGTTGCAAATTGAAAAGCTGGTCGTACAAGAAATGAATCGTTTGGGCATGATTGTTGACTTGTCACATGTTTCAGTGCCCACAATGTTGGATGCTTTGGGTTCTTCAAAAGCACCCGTTATATTCTCACATTCTTCCGCACATGCCATATGCAACAGTTCGCGTAATGTACCCGACCATGTCTTGCAAAGAATTGTAAGTTTTATTATTTTTTTTTTCTCAGCTTTTGAATATAAAATAAAATGAAAGCACAAATATGTTGATTTCATTAAATTTTTATTCCATTTGGTATTTTTATCTCTTAACTTATATTTTTTGTTTCTTTTTCTAACATTTTTATTTATTTCGTTTTGGTGTAATATTCTTTTTTTTTTCTCTCTTTTTTTTAATTTCATATTTGAATAATTCCAAGGCTATAAATGGTGGCTTAGTAATGGTTGCATTCTATCCGCATTTTGTTAGTTGTTCTGGACAAGCAACACTACACGATGTCGTTGGTAAGTAGAATATTTTTTAACACTATGAAAATTATAATTGAATATATGTTTTAGCAAAAAATAAATACTTTTAAAAAATATATAAAATATTTTAAGAGTCCTACAATGAGAGGAGAGAAAGTGGGGACACATTTTTTTGTTTTAATATTTATTTCCACTAGTTCTAATTCAGTTCTTGTTCAATACTAGTCATTAGTATTAAATCGAGGGATTACTGTATTATTAAATTGTACTGTAAAATTAAACTTTATGAAATAAATCGAGGGATTACTGTATTCTCTCCACTATCTTTCTTTGTGTAATATATACCTTTTACACGTTATAAAAATAACATGTTTATTTATAGACTTCTGTTTTTTCTCTTATTTTGATGATGTTTTTTTTTGATATTATTAAAGCTCATATAAATCACATACGAGAAGTAGCAGGCGTGGATCACGTGGGCATAGGAGCCGGTTACGATGGTGTAAATCTGTAAGTTTTTTTTTTTAATTTTTTTCAGTCTGGCTAACATACTCTTTTTGACATTTTTTATAAACATAATAATAATGTTATATGTAAATGCTTATTGGATTATTTGCTTTTTTTTATGTTAAATTTTATTTATGGAAATCTTTTTAAGTTAAACTTTTAGTTGATTTTTTGTTATGTTTGTTTTTGCAACATTATTTTTTTTGAACAGATTTTTTAATATTTTCAATTTAAATACAATATTTTAAGTAGAAATATTTTTTATACAGATTTATCCTTCTTTTTTTGTTGCTTCACACATACATACATATATTGTAGCCATGGTTTGTTAGTCCGGTCTGTTGTTTTTTTTTCCTATTTTGTGGGCGAATGTATGTTTATGTTTTGTGTGTCTTTATAAGAGTTATGCTTTATATTTTTCATTGAATTTTTATTTTAGTGTACCCAAAGGACTAGAGGATGTTTCCAAGTATCCTCATCTTTTTGCTGCATTACTAGAGTCTGATAAATGGTCTGAAGAGGATATTGCTAAGCTGGCAGGAAAAAATTTAATACGAGTATTTAAAGAAGTTGAAGCGGTAAGTCACAAAAACAAAATAAAATTGTTATAGATTTTTTTCTTTCTCCCCACTGATAAATTCTGAGAAAAATTTTGAAGAAAAAAACTTTAAGAAGGGTTAAAAATCTTAAGACATTTTTATGTTGGCCATAAAATGGTTCAGATAACAGGCCAAGAAGTAAGCAAGAAATAATCAGGTTAAGAAAGAAAATAAACATTTATATCTTTGTTAACATTCTTAAGGCTTAAAAACTATTTTACTATTGTCACTAATACCTCTTCAATGTGTACTACCTAAGAATAAAAACTATCTCACACACAAACAAATGCACTTATGTAAATACCTTGATATGTTTAGGTAGACTTCTTGTACGTATGTGCCACATTCTCATCTTTATAAACTAACTAACAACTGACTGATAAATTGTTAAATTAAAAACCATAATAATTCCAAAGCCAAGTTAAAGTAAAAAAGGAAATAGAAAAACAATGTCTAAGAATTATATGATGGAAGTAAAACGACAATGCTTGTTAAGGTAACAAATGGTTGTCATGAAGAAGAGAATTTTGCTCTACTTGCCTCTGTGTGTTGGTTAGAAGAAAGAAGCAGTTTACTGGGTTTTTATTATTCATGTACATAAATATGTATTCATTCTTCTATACTTGTATAATTCTGTTCATTGTAGCCATGAATAAGTAGCTTTTATTTTACCTACTTATATAACATTTAACAACATAACTATGAAACAGTTCTTTTAGGGAATGTATTGTTAAAATATTGTTTATTACTGCATTAGTATACCCACCACCGAAAAAGAATGGAGGGTATATTGATTTTGTCATTCCGTTTGTAATACGTTCTGGGTCCATATTAAATTCTAAGAAGATCTAGCCATGTTTGTCCGTCCGTCTGTCTGTTGAAAGCACGACAGAGACCGAACGAAAAGAGCTAGAGAGTTGAAATTTTCCACAAATATTTCCTATATGTAAGATTTGTTTGGTATTTGTAAAAAGGGGAATATCGGTCCACGTTTTTGCATAGCCCCCATACAAGTAGCCCCCCGAAAAACAGCTTTAACAATCATAACTATTTTAAAAATTGCGAGTATAGCGATAAAATTCGACATTAATAAGTTTAATATGAGCTAAATTCTCTACCAAATTCTACCAAGTTCTATGAGGATCGGTCTATAAATGGCCTTACCCCCATATAAGAAAATGACCTTAACGCTCATTACTGGCTTAAAAATACGAGTATAGCGATGCAATTCGACAAAAATAAAATAAAATAAAATCTTTATACCGAATTTTATTAGAATCGGGTCATTATTTTACCTTACCAACCCCCCCCCCTCATATAAGGTGACTTAACGCTCATTTCTGGCATACGGTGTGATGGTGGGTATATAAGATTCGACATAGCCGAATATAACATAAGTTATAAGTTTCACAAAAAGTGGATTAGGGTTGCTAGGAAATTATTTATAAAATTATTCATTTCAGTTTGGGATCCTCTGACCCCTACAAAACTTGCTCTTAATACAAGTAAAATTTCATGCAAAGTGGACTATTTAGAAATCGCAGATAAGGGTATTTCCACCGAGAAGTATACTATACTTTTGTCACATAACGTCACGCACCATTAACTGTATATATCTTAGGTAAAGCTATTTGGGCTCTACATAAATATATAATCAAAAAAATTATATGATGTGTAGATTTTTCGGTGGAAATGCTTATTTATTTCCTTTACGGTAAAAAGCTGTGCACTGCGAGGTCAACTTGTGGTATGATTAATATTTATTACTAATTTGTTATTTTAATAAGTATACGCCTAGATGTATCATAAGCAAAAGATATAAAACTTTAAGATTATTTTTTAGTCCTTTTCTAAAATTCATTATAAAGGCCAATAATTAGAATATTTTATAAAACATCAAAAAAAAAATCCTTACAAAATCAATTTTACTTTGTTTAATATTTAAATAAAACTAACTCGAAGGAAACATTCAAATTTATTTAGAAATCACAGATAAGGGTATTTCCACCGAGAAGTATACTATACTTTTGTCACATAACGTCACGCACCATTAACTGTATATATCTTAGGTAAAGCTATTTGGGCTCTACATAAATATATAATCAAAAAAATTATATGATGTGTAGATTTTTCGGTGGAAATGCTTATTTATTTCCTTTACGGTAAAAAGCTGTGCACTGCGAGGTCAACTTGTGGTATGATTAATATTTATTACTAATTTGTTATTTTAATTTATTTAAATAAATAAATTAATAATATTTTATTTATTTAAATAAAACTAACTCGAAGGAAACATTCAAATTTATGGCCATTAAATGAAGTTCAATTGAATTGTAAATTTTGTCAAATTAAAATTCGTCAAACTTATTAAAAAACAAGATTTATTTTGTGTCCTTGAAATGGTAACATCGACCAGTAGGAATTCATTCTTTTGCAAATCCGCCTAATAACAACAATAACAAGAACTAAAGAAAATAAAGTAAAGGCCATTTTTTGTGTGTTTCAACAGAAATTCTTTAAGGAAATTGTTAAGAGTTGTTGAGTATAAAACGATGTTTTTTATTTTTTACTTTTTGTATTTTTTTTTTGTTCTGTTTATCTCTGTGTGTGTAAGCAGCTATAAGGAATGTCCGTCTGTCTGTCCATTCTAATGTTGGGCTCTTTTCTATTCTATTTTATTTAGTTTTCCTCGTCTTTTTTGTATTATTACAATATTACATTGTTATTATTTGTTACATGCCTCTTTTCATACAATATTTTCGAGCAGAAGGTGGTTTTCTTCATTCTTTGTCTGTGTGAACAAGTAAACCTCATTCTTCATAATTTTTCTTGTTGTTATTACTGTGTTATTTTCCCCTTCCTGTTGTCACGAGGTTTCTTCTGTTGCTCATGTTGCTGTTGTTTGGGGTTTTTCTGTTGTTGTTATTGTTCAACATAAATGTGTCTACTTTGTTTTGGTTTTAAAAGCATTTAAAAAGGCATCTCACATTATTTCATAGGGTTTTTATACTATTTTCTCATGACATATTTAAGATTTTATTAGATTGAAAAAAAAAAGAAGAATAAGAAATGGAAACACAAGGAGAAGACACAAAAAACAGCTTAATGGATTAAATGGAAATTCCTTTTAAAAATAATGTTAATATTTAGGCCCAGTTTTGTAATGTGCCAGAAATAAAGAAATGAAAATATATGGAAAAAAATATTTGTAGAAATGTTACTTTAAATTAATTGAAAAGTGTTCCTAATGACTATTGACATTAAAAGCCCAAAAAGTAACACATTTAGAATTAAAAATATAATTTTTTATTTGAAGGGATGAAATGAATCTTTGCAATGTCTCTTTAAATAAAACTCTACAATTTTTATTAAGTAATTAAAGCCAAAATTTTTATAATAATTAACAAATTTTTTCATACTCTTTATGAACGAACAGGCAGCATAATCTTGACACAGTTATCTAAACTTTCGTAGATATTTAACAGAAAAACTGCATTTTCAAACTTTAGTAATTGTAAAAATAATATCTACTTTAAGATGCAAATATTAAAAATGACAATATCACCATCGTAACTTCAGCACTTTTGTGGTGCGGAAAAAAATCTGTAATGGCCTACAAGAAAAAAATTAAACGATTAAGATGAAAATTCTGTGGAAATTGCAATATAAAAATGAATGACTTGAAAACCGGATGAAGTGTTCATTGTGTTTTTTTTTGTCTAGATGTTTTTGTACTTCGCATATTACGAGCAAATATGCAAATTTTATTAAGAAATGCAGACACTCACAAAAACATTAAGGAAACTTTAAATTTAACCGCAGCTAAACACGAAAGAAACTTATAGAAGAAAAAAAGATATAATGTCAATTTATATGATACATACAGTGGGGTATGAAGCTAGAATTTGTGAATGAAATTATGAGACGAGGAATATTAACAATCAGCATTAGTATAAGAGTTATAAGATAGTTCTGGAAGTCGTCTGATTATACTGGCCAACAGGTTTTTAACCCAGAGACTAATCTATACTATTATAAGGATTGAGCCACGCTGAATTCGTACCTGACCTCTGATTTGTTACATCATATCTGGGTTTTGATATATAGTGTCCTGTAATTTTATATACGACATTTTTGGCCGTTCTTGAGATTTATAACAGTGATAAGACAATTTTTTTTATATACCATCTGAAAGTTCCTTCTCTCATCTTCTATATTCTTCGAGATACATATCTTCACCTAAAGCTTGATATAACAATAAATTGACAAAAACTGTATTTTTTGGTACATTTAGCCTTTATTTTACAAAAAAGACTGACTTATACATTCAAATGATTTCTTCTGAAATTACTTTTGGAATTGTTTAAAAATCTGCTGTAGTTGCTGAGACATCATCCATTGAAGTTGATGGAGGGGCAGATATTGTTAAGTTGAATCAGAAAGTGACTTTGAATCGATTGGAACATCCTCAGATAGGTGTGGATCCAGTATTTTTGCTCATTATAGACAATGTTTACAAAGCATAATACCCTCCGAACTATAGTAGTGTAGGGTATAAATACCATGAATACACCGAAAAGCATGAGTTTTCAAGATTTAGGTGAAGATATCTTGAAGAAGAAAGAAGATATGTCAGATGTAAAGCCTTTATTTTAAAGTTGACAGAGTAGACATTCAGTTGGCATAGAACCATATAGTAGCATTTAGGCGAAAGGGATTGTCAAAGACCTAAGTCTCCTGTCAAAAACCTAACTGGTGAGAATGTATTAGTAGAAGCACGAAAATAAACATAGTTGTTCGAAAGGTACTAAATAATAAATGTAGTTTTGATAAGTTATTTTTTGTATGTTATTACTGGGATTTCATATACTAGTGAATGAAAATATTAGTTAATTAATTTTTTTCAGAAGATATTTCATCTTAAAACATATTTTAAACACGTCTTTTTGTTATTTTTTTCTGGACTAATGGAAAAAGAA